TTATTTTTGTATAACCCCTTGTATCAATCACCCAATTAATTCTTCTTGATGAGATGAAATAAATGCAATGAAATGAAATTATGTATGAAATACTCATGATATTGTTTTGTTGCTCTAAAATGATATAAAATTTGCTAGCTTATGAGTATCATGTATGATATGATCATAATGATGATTGATTTATTTTTTTTGATATCATGCATGAAAAATGAAATGTAATGTTTTGAAATTGTGCATGTTTTAATTTGAAACTATTATGATGCACAAACATATTAAAAATAAAAGATTGATATTTTAACTTTATCATAATTTAAAAATTGTTGTAAAGGGAAAAGAATTACAACATTGTATTATTCCCTTCTTTTTGACATTGACAAAGGGGGAGAAATATCGCTAGCTTATCTTGCAAAATTTAGAAACTTACACCTTGCAAAGGTAACAAAATTGCTAGCTCAAACATTGAAAAGAAAGCAAAAATTTGCTAGCTTGCAAATTGCATGGAGAAAGAAGTGCTATCTTGTTTATCTCAAGAAGCAAAACTTGCTAACTTGCACATCTTTAATTATTGCTAGCTTGCATAACGTTAAAATTGGAAATTATGTTTATTATGCAATGATTTAAATTTGAATATGTCCGAACACATGAAAGGTACACTTCTCCTTTTTGTTGACGACAAAGAGGGAGAAGTATGATCATGTTATGCATGATGAAGTGTTACAAATATTCATGATTAAATTTGCAATGGCTTGAATTCAGTTTGAATTCAAGGTTCCATCAATATGACATATTGATAGGGGGAGTTTGTTTAAACTCCGGGAGTTAAGGTTAACTCCGTTATTAATTGGTTGTCATAATAAAAAAGAGGGAGATTGTTGAATCTCGGATTTTGATGATGAAACCAATTGATAAGTGTTTATGATTTGATCTGCGTTTTGAGTGATGCAGGATGCTTCGATCAGGATGAGACAATTAAAATAGGAAGAATCATATTGGGTCGGAGGAAAACATGTCAGAAGATTGGATGTCGGGCCGAAGAATCGGTCGATGTATCGACAAAAGGCTTCGGGCCATGGATTCGGGCATCGGGCCAAGAAGAGCGGATATTGCGCCGAGGATATTGGAGTTGCAGAGTTAACTGGCCGATTGGGCAATAGGCCGCAAGAGAGGACGATGCGTCGAAGAATTGGATAAAGCGTCGAGGGACCAATGACATACCAGACAACATGATTAATGCTTAGTATTAATTTTCTATATCGAAGTGTGTTTTTACATGTGCAGGATTAACTACGATAGCAAGGTATAAAGCAAAATGAAGTCCCGGAGTTAAGGGCGCGATTTCGTTGGGAGTTCGAGAGTTCTTCGGAAATCCAGATGTTCGTCGGAAGTTCTGCAGGAACTAGCTGAGAAGTCCAGGAGCTTGCCAAAGAAACTCATTGGAACTCGCTAAGAAGATTATCGTGAAGTCCAGGAGCTTGCCGGATGTCCGCTGGAACATTGCCGAGAGATCATTGGAAGTTCGCCGGTAGATCGCCGGAAGCTCGTTGGAAGAAACTAGACTTACAAACTTTTTTAGCTTAGAATATGTCTTAGGAATCGTAGTTAGCACGTAATTGGGTTTAGATTTGGGCCAACCCAATTAGGGGCCAGTTGGGCCCATGTAAGGACTGTGTTGGGCCCAATGAGAGGCCCAAATAGTGTTCCAAGATGTGGCACCGTTGTGGCACAGTCTCCGAGATTGTGTCAGGCAGTGGTACCGCCTAGACACAGACTCCGAGAGGCTGCAAGCGGTGGTACCACCCAGCGCAGTGAAAGTGTCAGACTGACCCTAGCGGTGGTACCGCCCAGCACGGGCGGTGGTACCGCCCAGCACGGGCGGTGGTACCGCCCAGTCCCAGGAAACCCAGGATGAGATGTTTTTAGGCTCCATGTTTGAATCAACTTGAAGCCTATAAATACCCCTCTCATCCCTGGTTAAACAACACAAGCACATAGAATTTAAAAAGGGAAAAACGTTCTAGAAATCTCTTGTTAGAATCCTCCTCTAGTCTAAGTGTTAGAATAGTTTGAGAGGGGAGTGAGTGCTTATAAGGATTGTCTCCTAAACCCGGTAAAAGGGGAAGAGGGGTGTAAGAAGGAGGTTGATCTATGCCTATTAAAGGAATATCGATAGTGGATGCCGGTGGCCTCGATGGAAGAGGAATCGGTGAAGTGGATGTAGGTCACGACGACCGAACCACTATAAAATTGGCGTGTTCTCTGGTTTGCATTTACTTCTTGCAATTTACATTAACTGCAAACTGCCTTCAATACGCTCTTACTTCGCTTTTAAAGTTAAGCATTTCCAAGTTTGGTTTTATCGTATGAAAAGTTTCTGAAATTGATGTTTTTATCCGCTGCACTAATTCACCCCCTCTCTTAGTGCCGACCCCTATTCCTAACAATTGGTATCAGAGCCTCGTTTTCTCATTTGGTTTAACACCCAACGAGAAATGGCTTTTTTCGATTTTCAAGAGGGTCACTCTCTCATTCGTCCTCCCTTTTTCAATGGGATGGGCTACACTTATTGGAAAACTCAACTGAGAGATTTCTTGCTATCATTGAATCTCGATTTATGGCACATAATCGAATTTGGTTTTCATAGGTCTTCTCTTCCAATGAACCATTGGAATGATTTGGAGAAGAAGATTTTTTCACTAAATGCAAAAGCTATGAATGCCTTATTTTGCGCCTTAGACAAAAACGAGTTTAATTGAATTTCTATGTGCGAAATGACTTTCGAAATTTGGCATACTATCGAAATCACACATGAAGACACTAGCAAAGTTAAAGATTCGAAAATCAACTTTTTGATGCATGATTTTGAACTATTTCAAATGAAACCAAGTGAGACAATTGGAGATATGTACACCCGTTTTACGGATGTCGTCAATAGTTTAAAAGCTCATGGTAAAACTTTTTTGAATTTTGAACTTGTTAATAAAGTTTTACGATCACTTTCTAAAAATTAGAATTCGAAACTAACGGCTATTTAAGAATCAAAAAATTTGAATATTTTTTTGATCGAAGAACTCATCGGGTCTTCAATGACCTACGAAATTACTAATGTTGCACTTGACGAATATGAGAACCACCTTCCAATGAATAGGAAGGATTTTGAACTTAGACCAATTGAAGACCACTCGAGCATAAGCTCAAGTGATGGTGAACTTGAATTACTTATGAAATTTAAAAAGTTCATGAAATAAAAATTAAAGAAAAAAAAGAACGCAACTAGCTATGAACGTAGGAAGAAGAACACAAATTGGGATGAATCAAGCTCATCCGAAGACGAGGAGAAAATCAATAAAGGCGAGGTGGCAAACTACGCCTTAATGATTTTCAACGATGAGGTAATCAAAATACCTTTAATTTATTTCGAAATTACATGATGTCTTTTCATGAGTTACTTTTAATTTAGTTTAGAATAATTATTTTTCTTGAAAATTAGATGTTTTATAACAAAATGATTTTGAATGCCTTATGAAATCATGATTGATTTGATGTAATAATGTAAGTACCATGATTTACGATTTTATGCATGAGATTTTAAAGTTATACATGATGATTTTTGTGATTTATTGATCTTGATGATTTTTATGAGGATAAATCTTGCACTTTCATTTTAAAGGATGATATTTATTTTGATTTGACATAAAAAAAGACAAAGACATGCTTGTTTGAAACAAACTAAAAAGAGGAAACCTTTCTCCTTAAAAAATTTCTCTATTTTATCGATTTTTTTCAAAAAGGAGATTAATGGAATCTCTTAAAAATGATTTTGATTTGACGATTTGAATTTGAATGAGTTTTATTCAAATCATAATCTTGAATTCTTCAAATTACTTGAGATTTTTTTCTTAATCAAGATCTCTTTTTTTTTACCCCTACAATTTTTCTTGGTATTTTATTTAAGAGGAGATCTACTATATGAATCATGTCTTTTGATATTTACATGATCTTACCTCTCATGATATGATTTATTTTTGTATAACCCCTTGTATTAATCACCCAATTCATTCTTCTTGATGATATGAAATGAATGTGATGAAATGAAATTATGCATTAAATACTTATGATATTGTTTTGATATTCTAAAATGATATAAAATTTGCGCGCTTATGAGTATCATGTATGATATGATCATAATGTTGATTGATTTATTTTTTTTGATATCATTCATGGAAAATGAAATGTAAGGTTTTGAAATTGTGCATGTTTTAATTTGAAACTATTATGATGCACAAATATATTGAAAAGAAAAGATTGATACTTCAACTTTATCATGATTTAAAAATTATTGTAAAGGGAAAAGAATTACAACATTGTAATTATCATCACCCTTTTTATGTCATGAAATACTTGACTCATTAAATCAATTCACGATTTGATTAAATCTGAATTTGAATAAAATAAAATTTATGAATATCCTATCAATTGTTGTGTTGATTGAATCTCTACTCATTTAAATCAAAATTTAAAAATACCCCTCTAGTCAGGTTCAAATTAATTTCATATTTAATAAATAATTAATTATTCGAATCGTTTTTATGTACCGAGGTAGTTAAAAGGGAGGGTTTAATAGCATAAAATTTAAAGAACCCACTCTTATCTCCATCCTCACAGTAAGACCCGACAAGTGGGGAAAATTGGGTTAAACGAGCATATCACAGCCGTCCACCATTCCGACTCTTGATGAGATCGGACGTATCACATCTGCGTCGGACTTCGGAGGAGAGCCCATCACAGCCGTCCGTTGCGGTGAGTCAACGATGGCGACCGGTTCGCGCTTCGAGCACCGCCCTCGCTCCTTCCCTCCACTATCGTGATCATTCATCTTTACCGAACCGTAAATTAATTCCATGATCGGATTTTTAATCTCGTTTTCTTTTATTTATATATATATATATATAATATTATTTTTATTTTATTTATTTATTTTTTTTGGGGAGCGGGGGGGGAGGGTGGCGGAAGAGACCAAGGCCGAAGGGGAAGTAATTGGGCTGTTGGATTCTTTCGCCCGTATTTGTCTCTGTCCTTGCGTCGCTTCGGTGGTGGTGCTACTATTCTTCGCCTCCCTTCCTCCTTCCCTCCCTCCCTCCCTCCTTCTTCTTCTGGGAATTTGCAGAGCGAGGAAGGAAAATACTGATTACGATAATCGAGAGTGAGAAGGAAGATTGAGAACAAACAGTTTTTTTTTTTTGGGTAATTTCTTCGAGTTTTTCTTGCTTTTTGGTGCTCAGCCTTCCCCTAATTTGAGGGGTTTTTGTTTCGTGGCGGAGGGGAAACTTACAATAGAGGAAAATAGGGTTCTTTTTGGGGGAACTGTCGAAATTGGTTTCCTTTAAGGAATCGAAGAAAAACGAAAGAAGGTTGCCAAAAGGGGGATTTGATGGGTTTTTTCTCGCTTTTTCTTGAGAAAATTTGGAGTTCTGTGGGCTGTTGATTGCAACCGAGGCGAATCGGTGGAGAATTCGGTTCTTTTCGTGATTTTCTTGGAACATTTCCTCTTTTTTGCTGGATTTCGGTGGTGTTTTGGATAATCTAGGAAGATAGGAACTGATCCATTCAGCGGGGACATTGATACCCATTTGAGTTTACCGATCACAGATCGGTGCTCGCGTCGAAGATTCGACCTCGAGAACCGATCAAGCAGAGTCGAGTTTCATTTCCGATCACTTCGCCCTTTGATCGTTGGAGCCGCCTCTCGCCGCCATGGCGAGCTCGTCCGGGCCGCTCGATTACTGGAGAAAGTTCTTCCGCAGTGCCAATTCGGATATATTCGAGGTGATGGAGCACGCAATCCTCGTCGCGGCCTCTGATTACCCCCAGGAGTTCAGGAGCAGGAGGGATCAGATAGTAGAGAAGCTGTTCGCCGTGCTGCTGCCGCGATGCTTCGGGTGCGATCGCGTTGCCGAGGGGGAGGAGGGTGATCGCAGCGTTAAGAGGGACGGGGAAAAGGAGAGCAAGGTGGACAGTAGCAATGACGGGCCTGAGGACTTGAACCGGATCGTGAGCAATTACAGCTTTGACGAGGCGGAGGCACTCACCGAGGAGATTGAAGAAGAGAGCCAAATCGTTGGGGAGGTTCTCAGGATTAAGGAGATCTTTGCCAACCACCATGATGAGGTATGTGCCATCCTTTCCTTAGTAAAATCTGGCTTTGATGCAGTTTATGTTGCATTGAATAGCTCGAATGTGCTGTTTCAATTTTGATTTGGAATTTGGACTAACATCGCTGATTGTACTGAAACTTGCTTCGCTGGTTTGCAGTCTGATAGTGTATTGTTCGAGTCATTGAGGAGGCTGCAGTTGATGGAGCTTTCTGTCGAAGTACTGAAGGTGAAGATAGAGTATAGGATTCGAGTGTAGTTGATGGAGCTTTTTTAGCCTAAGGATGCATAGAGTTTGTCGGACATAAGCAATGCCTTGCTTCATGTTATGTTAAATTCATGTATCTTTTTTTGTCTTAGGCAACTGAAATTGGAAAGGCAGTTAACGGTCTGCGAAGACACAGCTCAAAGCCAATTCGCCACCTTGTCCGCACTCTTATTGAGTAAGCTTGCATTGCTTTATCAAAGTTGTTTAGAGAACTAAAAAAAAGGGAATTGTTCATGTATCTTTCCTATGAATGAATAACTAGTGCTCTATGCTTGCTTTCTTTCTTGTTTCATATTTGTTTCTTTATTCTTTTATTGCATTATTTCGAAAAGGTAATTTGTTTGGTGGAGGCAAATATTGACTACTGATGAATAACTATTGCTCCTTTGCTACACGGACTAGTTGAAAGGGTTACGCAAATGACTTCTGAATTGTTAATTACATTTTAGTGTCTTCCAATGGACTCTGCTCACTGAATGTGGATACATATTAGTTGTCTAGTTGCTCATCTTGCATTGCTTCCATTCATCTTTTTGCGCGGCAGGGGTTGGAAGCTTTTGGTAGATGAATGGGTGAGGGCTACAGCGGCCATTGCAGGTATAGCATATCTTCTCTTATATGTTTTCATGGCTTGTTATTTATGAAATCTCATAGGTGATTTCAAACTCATTATCACAGATGATAAATCTCCGGAGTCTGTAAATCCTCCCATGGAAGATGAGGAAGGGCTTCCTTCTCCGCCCTTGGATGAGGGAGCTTTGTTTGCCACACAAACTGCTTCCATCCAGCTCTCTGAGGTATAAGATACAAATATTGGGATGATACATTAAATATTAGATATCTTCTGAATTGCACCGCTGCTTTTTGAAGTCAATTGACTAGGTTTCATTTTCTGTGTCCTCCTTTTTACATTTTGGACATGAAGTTCTTCGACGAAATGGATGATGATGGAAGTGAGTAACTGTGCTTTTGCTTTGCTTTTTTGCTCATGGTTTGCTGGTATGTTTCCTTAATCAATATTACTGATGTCATCTTTTTTCTGAAAATATTATCCAGATTTTAGAAATAATATGGACGTCGAGAAGCAGCGAGGAAATGGGTTGCCTACGGTACATGATGTACCACAGAGGAAAATACAGCCTCTAGATCAATCTTTAATGCCAAAAGAGAAGCCGGAGACAAGGAGGCAAGAGCTGCGAGAGTTGGCTGTTCCAGAAGGGATGGAAGTGATAAGGAGGAAAGAACCACCGCATTCAGCTATTCCAGAAGAGTTAAAACAGATGAGGCTGCAGGCTCCAGTAATGAGACGAATGAAGCAACAGGATCCCTTGATATGCCAATCCAAGAATGAGGGTATCTTGAACAAACAAAGCAAGCCAGTGATTCCCGATTCTGGGCCTGGCAGACCACCAAAGCTAGTACGCACTCTAAAAGCTGGCGGTGAGATGAAGCCTAAGCAGCATCAAGATGATGCCGGACCTCGGAGAAAGCAGTTGGCAACCACACAAGATGTAAGTTCCACAAGAAGTTAGAAACTTTTAGACATTGTAGTTTATATAACTATTTTGTTTTCTATGCAGAAAACAAAATTCTCAGAGGAAGTCTCCATAAGAACTAAGCTAGAACTGGCGAAAAGGAAGCTTCATGAAGGCTACCAGCAGGCAGAAAATGGTTTGTTCCAGTTCCGTGTTCTTCTGTTCTGGTCTTATCGAGTATCCAGTAGCTAAACATATAGCTTTTCTGATGGGTGCATGCCATTTTACTTGCTGCAGCGAAGAAGCAGCGAACTATACAAGTAATGGAGCTGCATGATCTGCCGGCACAACGGCACAATAAACATCCTGTTCCAAAATCCAGAAACAACATCAGGAATTGGGCAAATGGTCGGCGATAGTTGTGTTTATTCTGCAAGTGGATTGACTACTTACCTCTGTGGAATTTCCTGTTTCTTTACATCGAAAGCACACAAGCCATCCGAGCTTAGTACCGAGGATTTGACAGAAGTTTTTATTCTTCTGCTTGTTCTTAATGGAGATTTAGACAGTTTGACTTCATACTGCTACCATACCTGGTGAGAGCGGTGACAAGTTCTTCAAATGTAATTATGAAGCCTGAAGACTTCAACGAGTTCCAGCATGGCTGAACATTTAAATCATTGGTTCTTTTAAGATGAATAAGTAGACATCCAGCATCAATTATTCTTCTCCATTTGTGATTTGTTTGCCTTGGTCCTGTGATCTGATAACAGCATGATTTGGTTTATATATGTATGTATATATATATATATATATATATATATATATGTATATATATGTAT